AGGAAGCAAAACTTTCAAGAAAAGCAAAAAAAAAAAAAAGAGAGAGAGAGAGAGAGAAAGAGCGAGAGAGAGAACATCAAGGTCGGGATAATGGTTTCCTCTGGGGCAGGGGAAGAGGTATGTGAAGGGAAACAGGAGGGTTCTAAAATACTTTAATGTTCTAGTTCTTAGCATGGTTGGCAGGTAGATGGGAATTTTATTATTCTTCCTTAAACTGTACAAGTTTTAGAAACTGTTCTATATGTTCAGTGCATTTAAAATTTTAACAGAAACACAATTTTCAAACCAAATAATATGTACAACTGACTGAACACATGGAATCAAAGATAATCACAATAAACACATCAGAATACCTGCCTATGGAGGGAGAGGGTTGGAAATGGGAGTGGAGAACGAGAAAATGGGATGCACAAATTTATATATATAAAAGCCCAGCGACCATTATGGCAGAATGATTGGAACAACCAGAACAGTGGGTCACTATGACACTCACTGACTACCAGGGGGCAGATGCTCAATACAGAAGCTGCCCCTGGTGGTCAGTGCAGGAGCGCTGCTCAGCCAGAAGTGGGGCTCACAGCTGGTGAATGCAATGGCAGTGGTGGGAGCTTCTCCCGTCTCCACAGCAGTGCTAAGGAGTGGTGAGCCAAGTGGTAAGAAGTGAGCAGGTGGGTGGTAAGGGGCAAGCAGGTGGGTAGTTAGGAGTGATGTCCAACTGCCAGTTTAGGCCCAATCAAACACCTCCCGAGGGACCCCAGATTGCAAGAGGGCACAGGCTGGGCTGAAGGAACAACCCTCCCCCCCATGCACGGATTTCGTGCATTGGGCCTCTAGTAAATAAATAACATATACATTCTACTTATCAAAGATAATTATGTGACCATGGAGTACAGTTTCCTCTACCTTCTACACCAGCATATTGAATGTGATAAAGAAGATGAACCTTATTAAATCTGATTGGTCCAAAATCAATCTATATAAAACCAAATCACATGAATACTGCTAAGAGTATTATAATCAAGTAAATGGTTGCTACAGAGGGTTTTCCCAGGTGGAGGATTTTGAAGGCCTCTCTGAGTGGTCATTTCTCCAAAGTTTCATCTGTGTACTGGTGTCCAGAATTCCTGAAGGATTTCCATTGCAGCCCTTGGCTTATCAGCCCATTTCACAATAAAACTTGAAAACCAATAGAGAGGTTCCCAAAGAGGAAGGAGGGTCAAATATATGGTGACAGAAAAAAACTAAACTTTGGGTGATGAGCACACAGTCCAATATACAGATGATGTATTATAATATTGTACACTTGAAACTAATATAGTCTTATTAACCATTGTCACCCCAATAAATTTAATTTTTTAAAAAAGAGAAAGCAGGAGACTAAACTGGTATCCCTACAAGAGGAAAAGACCAAACCCTCATACCTCAAAAAGAAGTACAGTCCTATGTTGGACTGTGTCTTGGAAATTGCCTCTATGGTTTAAAAAGATCATGTATGCATATCTCATGGACATGGACAATAGTTTGGTGAAGGCCAAGGGAGGGAGGGTGGAAGTGGTCAAAGTGGGGGAAACGGGGAAACACCTCTAATGTCAACATTAAAAAAAGTTTTTAAAAAAGATTCACTTGTTCTTTTTAAAAAATTTAGTTTGTCTATAGTTATTCTACCTTTTCATTCTGTGTGTTGGGTTTTAAATTGTCGGAGGTCTGTCTCCCTTATTAGTCTTTTCGAAGACCAGCTTTGATTTGATCAGTTTTCACTGTTGCTTGTCTTCTCTATAATGTTGGTGGTATAATTTGGATTAAAGGATTAGAGTATCATCTGTGTATATCCTGAGGAAAAGAATAGCCATCTAAAAACTTAAATTGTTCAACTGGATTTAAATGATTTTAAGAATGAAATAGAAATTCTGGCTAATGGGGAAAAAAACATAAATTATACTTAACTTTTTACCACTGCCTACTTGAGAAAAAAAAAGCATTTCTCTTTAATAGCCACAATCAAGATTTTGAAGAGATCATTAATGAAAAGTCCTGATCAGGAATTGTATGTAGCCATTTTCAGCATAAAATCTTAAGCTAAAATGTACATTCACAGAAGATGCTCACGTGTGTCATTAAAATGTGAAAATAGTTTATTTAGTTATACAAATTAAAGGTTTGCTGTCTTTCTGTCACCCTTGTAGTACCCACATACCTCCTCCAAATCAGAGCCAGAGCCACTGCCAGGCTCTACTTATCTCCTCTGAGCTATAGGTAGTTTTGTTCCAGCTCTGGGAGCCCAAGAACCAGGACTGAGAACATCTATATATATAAAAGCCTAAGTGACCGTCCTACCATCTGACCCGTAGCTATGATGTGCAATGACCACCAGGCGGCAGACGCTCAATGCAGGAGCTGCTGAGCTGCAGTGATTTGGCAGCTCTAGTTCTCGGATGACGCACCCGGAACCAGAGAGGAGGGAGCCTGATTCTGGGATGCGTCACCCGAGAACCGCCCGCTTGCAATCCAGGACCCCTTGGGGGATGTCGGAGAGCCAGTTTTGGCCCAATCCCGGCACTGAGGAGCCCCACCGGGCCTATAGTCCTATATAATAAAAGCCTCATATGCTAAGTGTCCAGTCGACCAGTTGGCCATTCAACCAATCAAAGCATAATGGGCTAATCATATGCATAGGCCGCTCAACTGCTCGCTATGACATGCACTCACCACCGGGGGCAGATAGTCAACTCGTTGACCAGTTGCTATGATGTGCACTGACCACCAGGGGCAGATGCTCTGACTTGCTGCTGGGGTCTGGCCCATCTGAACTGAGCAAGATGGGCTGGACATGCCCTGGAGCCCTCCTGTGGTCTCTTCCCGGCTGGCCAACCTCCCATATCTCTTTCCCCTTACCCCTATCATGCACCGGTGGGGTCCCTCAGCCTGGCCTGTGCCCTCTCACAATCTGGGACCCCTCAGGGGATGTTAGAGAGCCGGTTTCAGCCCGATCCCACAGGCCAGGCCAAGGGACCCCACGGGTGCACAAATTCGTGCACCGGGCTTCTAGTGTAATAATAATGGCAGCTAATGTTTATTGAGAGCTTAATTTATGCCAGACACTATGTAATCTCATTTAATTATCATAATAACCATCTGTGGTAAGTACTATTATTCTATTATCCTTCAATATAAAGATGCAGGAACTGAGACTATAAGAGATTAAGTAATTTGCCAAAAACCACAGAGCAGGCAATTGATGGAAGCAGGATTTGCACCCAGGCAGTTCTGCAGCCCCTGGATAGGTAGCTCCTCCCCCACTGAGTACCCTCAATGTGCCCACTCCTTCTGGGCCCCTTTCTGCTCCCCTTAGAATCAGCTTTTCATCTGCAGTGGTAAGTTGTGTAGAGGCTACCAGGGCTGTGCCAGGCCAAACTACAGGTTGACCACAGCAGTCACACAGCAGGACAGCTCAGATAGTGATGCTGACTACAGTTGGGGAAAAAAGAGAGCCTGACCCTAAGCCTAGTCGAGAGGAAAGGTTTGGCCTTCTACCTACCCTCCTGTCTGGAGCTGATTTCGGGACAACACAGCAGATGCCATTGTCCAGGGGTCAGGGAGGTCCTTAGAAGAGAATTAGGCCCCCAAACCAGGTAAAGGGCAGGAAAGGGCTCAATCCCAACAGTGCCCCCTGGCAGTAGTTGAGGGGATAGAATAGCCTGAGAGGAGACTGGCCCTGAGGACATCTTGAATCCCTCTACAGCCAGCCTCAACTCCCAACCCTCTGGACTAGTCAATTCCTTCTGGTTAGACCAAGGCAGACTCTTGGCACTACCGCCAAGCCCCATCTAGCTCTCTCCCACATTTTGCCATTATTACCTCTTTAGAGCACCCTTAATTCCTCCAAGTCCCCCCACTCTCCTGCAAAGTTCAAATCCAATCTCACTTCCTCCAGAAAAAGCTTCTAGGGTCCAATTTAGGTTTCTTCATATGATGACTTGACTAGTTGGTTGATTCCGGTTTTTCCCATTTGCCATTCTCAGGGAATCAAGCTAACTTTAAAAGCTATAACCTTTGTATGTGCTCTGGCAAAGCATTTTGTTTGCATGTATTTGTAATATATCTAAGGGTGTTATCTTGTATATTTTCTTTTTCCTACTTGAGTGACACAGCAATATGTGCTTTTAATTTTTAAAATTTAAAAAAACCTTTTGTTTTGTAATGATATCAGACTTATAAAAAGTTACAAAACTATGCCCTACCTCGTTTGGCTCAGTGGATAGAGCATCGGCCTGTGGACTGAAGGGTCCCGAGTTCGATTCCAGTTAGGGGCACATGCCCAGGTTGCAGGTTCAATTTCCAATAGGGGGCATGCAGGAGGCAGCCAATCAATGATTCTCATCTTTGATGTTTCTATCCCTCTCCCTTCCTCCCTGAAATCAATTTTTTTTTAAAAAGTTACAAAACTAATACAAAGAATTCTCATATACCTTTCACCCAGCTTCCCCAAATGTTACTGTTGTACATAATCATAGTACAATTATCAAAACTAAGAAATTAACATTGATACAATACTATTAATTAATCTATTCAAATTTCACCTTCAAATTTATTCAGATTTCACCAGATTTTCCCCCAATGTCCTTTTTCTGTTCTAGAATCCCATGTTACAATTAGTTGTCATGCCTCCTTAGTATCTTCTCATCTGTTACAGTTCCTCAGTCCTTCTGTCTTTCATGACCTTGATACTTTTGAAGAGGACTGGCCAGTTATTTTGTAGGATATCCCTCAATTGGGCTTTTCTGATGTTCTCTCATGTTTACATTGAGGCTATGCATATTGGGCAAGAAAACCACAGAAGCAGTGCAATGTATCCTTCTCAGTCCATCATAACGGGTTATATTATGTCTAAATGTCTTATTGATGATGATGTTAATCCTCATCACTTGGTTAGGTGGTGTTGCCACTGTCAAGT